GTCAATGGGAAGAGCTTGTGGAGACAGCAAATACCAAGAAGGATGGACTCTACGGTGTATGCACCTGTAACTTCGATCATATCCACAGGAAACCAACCAAAGAGAAAAAAACAAAACTACAAACGTTAAATGACATCAAGAAACACAAAAAGAAAAGGTTGGATGCAGAGGCTCACACCTGTAATCCCAGCACTTTGGGAGGCCGAGGCAGGGGGGGATCAGCTGAGGTCAGGAGTTCGAGACCAGCCTGGCCAACCTGGTGAAACCCTGTCTTTACTAAAAATACAAAAACTAGCTGAGCCTTGGGAAGCTGAGGCAACAGAATCACTTGAACCTGAGAGGCGGAGGTTGTAGTGAGCCAAGATCGTGCCACTGCACTCCAACCTGGGCGACAGAGTGAGACTCCGACTCAAAAAAAAAAAAAAAAAGAAAGAAAGAAAGAAAAAGAAGAAAATGCGAGAAGCACCAAGAATTCACCATCCAACTCCTCCAACCTGTGGAATCTCCTTGTGTGTTCTCTCCATTCTCAGCAGCCCCCACCCCAAGACAGTCATTATCCTGAGGGTCATATTTATCATTTCCTCATTTTGCTTCATCGAGCTTCCACATAGCTATGATTACTTAAGCAACATGTAATTTCATTTGTCGTATTTCTGACCTTCATGAAGATGAAATCATACCACAAGAGTATGGTAGGAAGCTTCTCAAATGATCCTGATATTTCCCCTCCTCCTGAGGTCTTCACACACTTTTGCAATCCTTATGTGGGCTGGACCCAGTAACTGGTTTCTAACACATAGAATACGGCAGAAGTGATAGACTTCTGAAGTTGGGTTATGGTAAGATCGTGGCTTCTGTCTTGGGGGATCTCTCACTAGCTCTCTTTCGGATCACTCTCTGTGGGAGAAGCCACTGGCCATGGTGGGAGGCAAGCCCATGGAGCGCCCCATGGCAAGGGATGCAGCCTGCCAACCACCACATGACTAGCTTAGGAGCAGATATTCTGTAAACCAAACCTGAGGTAAGACCATAGCCTTGGCTGACAGCCTAAGAATCTCATGAGAGCCCCTGAGCCGGAGGTAACCACTTAAGCTGCACCTGAATTCCTGACCCACAGCAACCATGAGATAGTAAATGTCCATTGTTATCAGCTGCTACATTTTGGAGCAAGTTGTTATGCGGCAACAGATAACTAATAAACTCTTCTATGAACTGCTTTTCCATTCAACATATATATTGACATAAGTGGCTATAGCGTATTTTCATTACTGTGTTATATTTCATCATATGAATATGCTGTGATTTTTTATTCATTCACCTATTGATGGACATTGGGATAGCGTACACGTTTTTTCTCTAATGAGCAATGCTGCTACAAACATTATTATTATTATTTTGAGATGGAGTTTTGCTCTTGTTACCCAAGGTGGAGTGCAATGGTGCGATCTCAGCTCACTACAACCTCTGCCTCCCAGTTTCAAGTGATTTTCCTGCCTCAGCATTCCAAGTAGCTGGGATTACAGGCATGCATCACCATGTCCAACTAATTTTATATTTTTGGTAGAGATGGGCTTTCTCCATGTTGGTTGAGCTGGTCTCGAACTCCCAACCTTAAGTGATCCACCCGCCTCAGCCTCTCAAAGCACTGGGATTACAGACATGAGCCACGGCACCCAGCCTCAAACATTATTCTTTATTTACTTATTATTATTATTACATGTTTAGAGAGAGGGTCTTGCTCTGTTGCCCAGGCAGGACTGCAGTGGCACAATCATAGCTCACTGTAGCCTCGAACTCCTGGGCACAAGAGATTCTCCTGCCTCAACCTCCCAAAATGTTGGGATTACAGGCATGAGCCACCTGACCCAGCCCAAACATTCTTAATCGTAGCTCCTGGCACACTGCGTAAGAGTTTCTCTAGACACATACCTAAGAGTGGGTCTGCTGGTTTGTAGGATATACATCTTTCACTTCATTAGAAAATGCCAAGTTGTTTCCTAAGATGCTAGTGCCAATTAGGCTCTCACCAGAGGTGGATGAGAGTCCCTGCTGTTCCATATCCTCGCTAACACTTGCCATCACCTGACTTTAGTCTTTGCCAAACTAGTGGGTGAATCAGGATCTCACCAAGACTTGACTTTACATTTCCATGATAAAAGCATAAGTGGCCTTTCATATGATTTTTTGTCATTCATACTTTCTCTTCTGTGGAGCGTCATTCATGACTTCTGGCCACTTTTCCATTGGCTTGTTTTTGTCTTGTTCTCATTGAGTCTAAAAGTTCTTTTTTTTTTTTGAGACGGAGTTTTGCTCTTGCTACCCAGGCTGGAGTGAAATGGTGCAATCTCAGCTCACCGCAACCTCCGCCTGCTGGGTTCAGGCAATTCTCCTGCCTCAGCCTCCTGAGTAGCTGGGGTTACAGGCACACGCCACCATGCCCAGCTAATTTTTTGTATTTTTAGTAGTGACGGGGTTTCACCATGTTGACCAGGATGGTCTCGATCTCTTGACCTCGTGATCCACCCGCCTCGTCCTCCCAAAGTGCTGGGATTACAGGCATGAGCCATCATGCCCAGACTAAAAGCTCTTTATATATTCTAGACAACAACCATTTTGTCAGTTTGTGTGTTGCAAATATCTTCTTCCAGTGTGTGCCTTGCCTTTTGATTGTCTCTACAGTACTTCTGATGAATAGAAGTTGTCAATTTTACTGTAGTTGACTTTATCATCCTTTAATTTATAATTAGTCATTATTTGGTTTTTGCAGAAATTACTCCTTCCCTGAGATTGTAACACTTTTAACATGTTTTAACATGTTGTCCTTCTAAGTCTTTAATTTGCCTGGAATTGATTTTGCATATGGTACGGAGCAGGGCTACAACTCCATTTTTTCCATATGGGTAAGTAATTGTCTCGGTTTCACTCACTGTGCAGTCCGTGCCTTCCCCCGCTGGCTTTCAATGCTTCCTGTCTCGTGGATTATAGGTGGAAGTGGTACTATTTCTTGGTTCTCTATTCTGTTCCGTTGGTCTATTTGTCTAACCCTGAAGTTATATTACAGTATTCTCTGTAGCCTTTCCTTGGTACCTTCTCAGGGTCTAGCACATAATAGGTGCTCAGTAAAATGCTTGTGGACTGAATAAAGCCTGCATGCTGCTTTTCCTGTCCCCCTACAAAAGTGAGGCTTGCTTCAGTAATTCAGTGAATCATGTTAAAATGACTTCAGCTGTTCTCTTCAGCAGATTAAACCTTTGTCAAAGTGGCTGCCAAATTCCTTGGGCTTGGCGTCAGTTCTCACTATTAATAAGAACTCAGCTTCATGACACTAGCTGTGATCTGTTACAGCACTAGGATGACAGAAAACAAGCCAAAGTGAAATGACTGCCTCTTCTTCCTTCTTCTCCAAGAGTTTGAGTATTTTTTAAAACTAATTTTGTAAAAAAAAAAAAAAATTTCCCACATGGATCTACATGATATGAGGGCTCTAGCCATTTGTCCTGGGTCTGATTTGTTTGCTGGAAATTTACAGGCATTGAGCCAGGCCCTCTGCAGAACTCCAGCCAAATGGATTGCTTTGTCCTTGCCTTCCTGTCAGTCTTCAGGGTCACACCTGCCCACTGAGCACCCGGTGCTTGCGAATTTCTTCAAGGAAGAAGCCAACGGCGTGTACCTGGCTCAGCCCCCTGGCGGTCTCTGCCCACACCGGTGCCTCTCTCCTCGGAACACTGCCCTCCTCTGGCATGTGCAGCGGCTCGCTGGCCTGCTTTCCTCCCACTTCGACTGTGCCTTCTCGGCTCCCTGCTCTGGCCGCGGCTTCAGGGTTGCTGTGCTCCAAGCTTGCCTTGTACACAGGGCTCTCTTGCTCCTGTCACCTCTGCTCTGTCCTCTCTGATGCCTTCTAACTGGCCCTTCAGGACCCACTTCGAATCCCATCCTGACGCACGCAGCCAACCCCAGCTCTTTGCCTGCGTCCCCCACACCACGTGGCATCGGCACTGTCCACCTGCTGCCCGCAAACTAGCTTGTGGAGAGGCTGCCGGGCTGGCTGGGTCAGAATGCCCATGTTTGAATCCCCGCTTTGCACCCTAATGTCTGCAGGAACTTATCCTCAGTCTTCCCACCTGTTAAAGAGGATAATACTTGTACCACCTCACAGAGTTACCGTGAGGGTTAAAGGGGCTGATATATCTAACGGCAGTACACGGGGCACTAAAAAAGTGCTATTTTCATCTGGTGTGTCTATGGTTAACCTTGGCATCACAGAAAGAACACAAGATCCGGAGCCCAGAGACTGCCTTTCATGACAAATGGCTCTGTGACCTTGAGCAGATTACTCCACAGACTCAGGGCTTGCTGCTTCCTCGGGGAACCAGGTCTAATGCTGCTGCCCTGCGTGCCTCAAGAGGCCGCGGTGAGGACCGAATGTGCACGGGCGCTGTCAGCCCTCAGCGAGTGATACAGACAGAGGCATGTCACGGCCTCTCCAGGAGCCTCCCACCCGGGGCTTCATGCTAGTGACAAGGGCAGCTGTATGGATGTGGAGAAAGAACAGGCAGCAGATGCTGCTGTGTAGGAAAACAGAACTCCTCTCAGCTTCTCCTTTTACTCTTCACTGTTCTTCTGGGTGGCCGTAGCCCCTTCCTTTCACGTGGTGACTTGCACCTTAAACCCCTTATCTCCATCAAATTCTGTCAGCTCTGCTTTCAAAAAATCTCCAGAATCAGAGCGCCTGCCATCCCCGGTCTGCGGCCGCCGTGGTCCAGCCCCATTCTCTCACCTGGACCAGCCCCGCCCTCTCACCTAGTCCAGCCCCATCCTCTCACCTGGACCAGCCCCTCCCTCTCACCTGGACCAGCCCTGCCCTCTCACCTAGTCCAGCCCCATCCTCTCACCTGGACCAGCCCCTCCCTCTCACCTGGACCAGCCCCGCCCTCTCACCTAGTCCAGCCCCATCCTCTCACCTGGACCAGCCCCGCCCTCTCACCTAGTCCAGCCCCTCCCTCTCACCTGGACCAGCCCTGCCCTCTCACCTGGGCCACTGCAGTAGTCACCTGACTGGCCTCCCTGCTTCTGCCTGGGCAAACCTTCCCCAAGTCTAGTCCTGTTACAGCAGCCAGAGAGGCCCTCTTAAAAATGTAAGACAAAAGTTCCCGTATCCTTCAGAAAAAAAAGCCTGGGGGCCTCTCTGAGCCCATCTCACTTTTGCCCATCCGCCCTGCCACCTGGGATTTGTGCAGCTCCTTCATCCAGCCAGCTTTACTCCTGCCTCAGAGCCCCTCATCTGCTGTTCCTTCCAGAGATGGCCCCGACTTACACCGGTTCCATTTTACAATGGTGCAAAACAATACGCAGTTGGTGGAAAGCGTTCTTCAAATTCTGAATGTTGGTCTTTTCCCAGACTAGGGATCTGTGATGCAATTCTCCCTCCTGACGCTGGGCAGCTCGCAGTTAACCAGGTGATCACGAGTCCTCTACAAAGTCCTCTGCGGGGCACTATGCTGCCAGGTAATTTTGCTTAGCGGCAGGCTGACGTAAGCATTCCCAGCACGTTTAAGGTAGGCTGGGCTAAGCTACGATGTTCAGTAGGTTACGTACGTTCAGTGCATTTTCAGCTTATGATCTTTTCAACTTACTGTGCGTTTATTGTGAAGTAACCCCATCCTAAGTTAAGGGACATCTGTGCTTAGAAGGCTCTTATCCCAGGTAATTTCAGGCCTTGGCACAAATGTCAGCTTCTCAGAAAAGTGTTCCCTGCCCACCCTGTCTCCAAGAGCACTGCTGCCCCACATCCTTCACGCCAGCCTCTCCTGAGTCATTCTTCTCCACAGCACTTATCACCCCTTGACATAATAGATATGGAGGCCGGGAGCGGTGGCTCACACCTGTAATCCCAGCACTTTGGGAGGCCGAGGCGGGTAGATCACCTGAGGTCAGGAGTTTGAGGCCAGCCTGACCAACATGGAGAAACACCATCTCTACTAAAAATACAAAATTAGCTGGGTGTGGTGGTGCATGCCTGTAATCCCAGCTACACAGGAGGCTGAAGCAGGAGAATCGCTTGAACCCGGGAGGTAGAGGTTGCGGTGAGCCAAGATCGCGCCATTGCACTCCAGCCTGGGCAACAAGAGTAAATCTTTGTCTCATAAAAAAAAAAAAAAAAAGATATGGGCCTATTTTTGTATTTTTTGACTGTCAACCCCTATTAAAATACAAGCTTCCTGAAGGAAAGGACTTTTTCTGTTTTGTTTACTGCTGTATCCCTAGTGCTCAATATTTGTCCAATGAATGAATTAATGAATGGCCCCACTTTATCATTCTCACAGCCAGTGGGACAAAACCAGCAGGATCAGAGCTGTTACCTGATTTTACAGTGAAGCAATGCGAAGTCCCAGTGAGTAACTGAGCTAACGTCTCACGGCAAGCAAGCAAAGACTGGGATTGAAACCCGTATTTTTTCGGATACTAAAAATGGCAGTTGCAGTGAGCTGGGCACGGGGTGGGGCGTGGAGGCAGCACCTGGGCACCTGGGCAGGGACCATCCTAGCTTGGCAAAGTACCCACCCAACCACTGCCAGTAGGTGATGGCTGGGAGGTTGTGTGTGACCAGCATTGGAAGCTATTAGAAGCCTGAATTAGAAGCTATTATGAAAGGAAAGAGATTTTCATGGAGTCCTGGGTTTTATTCCCATTCCCAGCTCTGCCTTTGTCCAGGTCCCCAATATAATCAACTTCTAATTACCAAGTGCCCTCAGCATGCTAGGGCATGTGATTCCAGCTTTAAGGAGAAAATTGGGTGGAATCACCATTTCTTATGGGTATTAGGAGTCCTAGTTTAGGAGCATTTCAGAAATGCTTGAATTGTGTGAAAGAATCCCATTGAAATTCAAAGCTAGCTGAGGAATAAATGGCGTAGGGTGACTTCAGGGCTATTACTGCTTGTGCCAGTGGGTGAATTCACATCAAGACAAAAAGAAAATAGTTCATTCTTTTCTCAAAAACAATTTCCCTTATAAACGTCTTAAAAAGTAAAATAAATGGCTTTGAGGACTCAGGTCTGACCAAAAGCCTAGCAAACCACACGCGCAGGACACCAAATGCATATAAAGTCACCCCTCCATCCATTTCACCTCTGTGTCCTATTTTTCAAGAGTTGGCTTTGAATTTAGGAAAAGAAGGACGTTTTCCTCTACCAGGTAATTCAAGGTAACAGCCCTGGATCTTTCCAAGGCAAATCTAAATCTAGTCTTTTATTTCCAGCCCTAAGAACTAACAGCATGGTGCAAGGCCTCCAGTTATTTTTAAAAGGAGACGAACCAGCTCCACCAGAGCACAACGGCTCCAACAAACAAATGTGACTTGCGGCTAAACAAACACGGCTCGTTCTTGCTCTGCGAACACCAGGGTTTGGGGGGCGTGGCTTTTTCTCACCGAGGTGGTAGCATCTCTGTCTCCATGAGCAGTTTTCTGCAGACGCTCCTGAGCAACTCTGGAAGAGGTGGGACAGCTGGCTGGTGTCACACAGCTGGATGCAACCTCTGCAGCCTGGATGACGGGGGGAGCTTGAGCACCAGCACCGGCCAAGCTTTTCTTGGAGGGTGTTTCTCTTCTCTTGTGTCTCTTGGTCTTGCTCAACTTCTCCACCTTGGAAATGGATCTTACCATTTGAGGGACAGCAGCTGCCATTCCTTCCACAGTCCACTTTCTTAGTAAAGGGGAGCACTGTCAACCTCTTTGGATGGTTATGAAATTAAAAACCAGATGGCTCATCTGGCAAATCCATCTGAGTCAGCTTCTCAATTTGCAATGTTTTCTTTCTTCTTATTAAAAAATATTTCCATGTTTCCTGATTTGGAAATGTTTAATAAAATGCATGAAAATGGAGAAAAACAATATGCTTGGAAGAAGCACTGTTCCCATGGAAAGCATGTCTTCCATGGTGTTTGGAGGTGGCATGGCAGAGAGGGCCCCGCCACAGAGGCCAACAGATGGGGTTTGGATCCCAGCCCTGCCACCTGGTAGGTGTGTGGCCTAGGGAAGGCGCTTACCCCTCTGTGTCTTGAGCTTCACTTCTGTAAAATGAAGCAGTAAAGCCCCGCATGGGACCATGTGGATGATTACACGAGATAACAGATATAAACCTGGCACGCACGTCCGGGTTAGTAAATGCACTCATTGGGTCAGTGATAGGAACGTGAGCCCTCCTGTGTGCCTGGCTTGGTGTCTAGTTGGGAACTTAGGGTTCTAGGAAGGAGGCAGACACCAAGGCAAAAAAGGGCCTAGTTACAATGGAGACAAGAGACGCCAAGATGAGGCATGGGGCCACTGCGCAGGGACACAGAGTGATGTCACAGGAGCAGGGATGGGCTGGGGTGTCAGTGCTGCGGGTTGGGCGGCAGGCTCAGGAGAAGGCTGAGGTGAGCTGGAGGAAGAGGCAGGGCAGGGAGAGAACTGTGAGCATCTTCTCAAAGTTGCCAGAGCTGGGTTTTAATAAGCAGAACCCATGAACTCACAGGCACAGCTGGCTTGCACTGTTACCCTGCACCCCAAACCCCTCCATCTTCTTCCTCCTCCGCCTCTATTTTTCCTGCCTTTGACTCTCTCTGTTCTGTTTCTCTCTCAACCTTTCTTTTCTCAACCTTTCTTTGAAGCACTGTCTCCACCTCCCTCTCATCTCTACTCTCTTGTTTTCCCTTTCACTCTTTCAGTCTCTCTCCCACCCTCCCCTGTGAGGACCCACTGAGGAAGCTCTGCCCTAGAGGGAAAGGGTTTCTGCCTCTAAGGAGCTGGCCATCCCTTGGGGACACCAGTCTTTGTCTGCTTCAGGTTGATTTTGCTTATTCAGCAAACTTGCATTTTGCACCACTGGGTGGCCAGATACAGATGGCAACAAATGCCACCAGGCAGAATCGTGTGCTGTGAAGCGGGGAGGGTGGCATCTGGGGCAGGTGCATGGTTCTGCCCCAAGTGGGCCATCTCTGGAGGGATGGTGGGTAAACTAAGCCCAACAGATCCCCAACTCTGCTCATTACCCGCCCTCTCCCTGCTGCCCAGGTCCCCTGCAACCCTGGCCCTCTTCCTCTGAACCTTCTCTTTGTGGGCGATCCCACCAGCTATATATCCAGCCATGTGAAGACACCAGGCACTGTTCCTGAGCCTCCACCCCATCACTCTACATCCAGTGAGTCAGTCCTGTGGATGCTGGCTCCTCCCGCTCTCTCAAAACTGCTCTTGCTCTCCATGGCAGCCACCACTGCCCCGGGGGTGGGCAGGGAGACAGCATCCTGGCATAGTTCTATTACTACAGCAGTCTCCCCAACTGGTCTCCCGTCTTCCCCTCAAACTCCCCCTTCCACACTGCAGCCAGGGAAATCATTTCCAAACTCCAGACCCTCCCCTGCTCCCAATCCACCAGTGGCTCCCCTGGCCTAGGTGTGGGGAGGGGAGAGGGGAATTCTTAGCCTCTGTGCCGCGACACACTGGGGTGGAGACAAACAATCTCTCTGAGACTAAAGTAGTTGGACTGACATTTGTGAACGATTTATTTTTTTGTTATGGCAGTTTCAAGGCTATGCTCTGATAAAATCACTCTCGCTCTCTTGTACTCTGATTTGCTTTCTTTAGTGGAAAGGAAGGGCTGGGACTCCAGCTAGCCTGATGGAAATGATTTATAACCTGGGCACACCCACAGCAGAAGTCGGGTGTCTGAATACCATCTCTCCTGTGTCGCTGGAATCAAAGAAACAAGTCCATAAATAAGGTTGGAAACTGTTGGCTGATAGAGGAGTAATTCCCAAATCCTTAGGCTGGTGGAAAAGGGCCCTGCCTGCTTCTTTGAGTGCACTGCGGCATCTCACTGATTGATGCTCGGCAAGCAACTGCTTATTCTCTCCTCCGATCCATGCTCCCCACCTCCGAGCTTCGAGCTTCACTCATGCTGGTTCCACTGCCCGGAGGCCCCATAGGCCTAGGAAATCACCTCCTCCGGAGAGCCATCCTGGATCAGGTGCCCTCTGTGGAGCCCCTTCTTCCCCATCTTCCCTCCCTTCCCACCAGGGGCTCCTGGCCATCTCCACCCCAGCACCAGCCTCCACTGGTCGGTCAGTGGGTCTGTCGGCAGGTGCTGGGAAAGCTGGGCAGAGCTACTGGAGGAAGCTGTGAATGAACAAGGGCTTAGGGGAAAGTGACGTTGAAACCTGGTCTCATCTCACTCCCTGCTGTGGGCCTCTGCTTTCTGTTTAAAGCCATTCCGGGTCTCTGCTTTCTCTCACAGCTGCTGTCTGTCTGTGGTTTTCATTCAGCTCCCCCCGCCCCAGGCCCTCGGTCTGCCGCCCGCGCCTGCAGCTTTCTCTCTCCTGGTTGAGCTTTTCCCCGACATCTGCCATCAGTCACAGAGCGTGACTCGGAAGCAAAGGGGCTTCACGGTTCTTTGTTTTTTATATACAGAGAGAAGAACAACAGTAGTTGGGATTCTTGCAAAATACTTCCTCAAAGATTTAGAGATGATCTACTTCTCACTTCATTTTATTTCTGGGGCTATCTCTGTGAGGTGGGTAGGACTGGATACTAATCTTATTTTAAGAGATAACAATAATCACTATCATTTCTCAAGTGCCAATCACGTGCCATGGGGCCAGGATTACTTAATTTAATCCTCAAAAAACAAGATTCGTAACCGTCACTTCCCATTTTCTTGAGTTGGAAAATGAGACTGGGTACAGTGGCTCATGTCTGTAATCCCAGCACTTTGGGAGGCTGAGGCAGAAGGATCCCTTGAGCCCAGGAGTTCAAGACCAGACTGGGCAATAGAGTGAGACCCTGTCTCTACAAAAAATGAATCACATTAGCAGAGCATAGTGGTATGTGCCTCTAGTCCCAGCTACTCTGGAGGCTGAGGTGGGAGAACCATTCGATTAATCACTAGATTAGGAAACTTGCACGAAATAAGCCATCAGTTGAGTGGCAGGGCCTGAGTTGTGCTTGGACTTGCCTGCATCCACAGCCTCGTCTTTGACCATGGTTCACCTTGGAGTAAGTGGAGACCTAAAAAGGAGGGGAGATGAGGGGAGAGACTGCTGGGGATTCTCTTTCTCAGGCATCTGATCCTGGATCTGTGTTATGGTGAGCCATGCTTCCCACAAGAGTAAGCCAGAGCCAGGGCTGCCCTGTTCAGCAGCGTAGGTTGTGCACTGTGCAACTCCAGGGAGTGCCAGTCACAAAGACTTCAATGTGAATGGCACCTCCTGGAGGGAAGTGCTACATAGGCAGTGCTCCTGGCAAGAGCCCCAAAGAAAAGAAGGGTGTCTTGCTCTTCTCAGTTATGCTTTCCAAAGATAATTAAAGGCAGGCAGCTCCCCAGGCAAGCAAATGTTGTGGAAGGCACAAAGCTCACCTGGGCAGGGCTAGTGTGGGAAGGGGGTGGGAATCACCCTGTGACCAAGAACAAAGAGAAATGGCACAGGAAAAGTACCCTGGCTTGGAATTCTCTTGCTTTTGTTTCCCAGAGCAGTGGGGCTCCCAGGGCAGGACGTGGGAGCTCTGGTTGGGCGTCTTCTCCCCGCCACAGAGAAGAGGGGGTACCAAGGAGGAGGCCGGGACTTCAGGGCGAGTGGGAAGAATTCTGACTCAGCAGAGGTTGCAAGGTAGTCCCTGGGAATCAGAGAGAGAGGAAGAGAGAGAAAAAGAGAGAGACGGGGATGGAGACAGAGACAGAGGCTGGAGGGGAAGGAGTCCAAGGGCAAGGGCACCTGGTGAGGGTCTGGGCTGAGCGTGAGGGGCCTGAGGCCTGGGATATGCACAGCAATGCCCTGACCCGGGGCCCCCACGCCTCGGGGCTTGGGGAGACTGCGGAATGCTCCTGGACCACACACAGCCTGCCCAGGGAGTGCTGCTGCTCCTGACCTCTAGCCTCTTTCCACAGGCCTGGGCTACCCAGAAAGGCACATTTCCCTGCTTTCTGGGAGTGGGCTCTGGCCAAGTGAAGCATGACAAAGTCTAGGGTAGGAGTTATTTCTCAGGAACGGTCCAGCCAAGGTACTCAGGAAAATTCCCTCTGCCCCACAGCCAAGTCACCTGAGCCTTGGTTTACATGAGTAACTGGAAATTCTGGGACACATCAGAAATAAGTCTAATTCTGAAGCTCCACACTTTATGGAGGAAAGAATGGAGACAGCCAGTCGCACACAACTTTTCCCTCTAGAGGGCCTTCCTTTCTGGAGAAGCTGCCAAAGCCTGGAAGCTGGTGGGCCCAAGCTCTGGAGAGCAGTGGCTGGAAAGGAAGGCTCCTGGCCTGGGGCTCAGGCCAAGGGCCTCCTGCCGCCCCTCCTCACCCATCTCTTCAGCCCCAGGAGCAGAAGGAAAGATACGAAGAGACAGATTGCCTTCAGCAATCCTTTTCTCTGCTTCTTGAATTGAGAGATTCTTTCTTGAAAAAAGGAAGCAAGATAGGTCAGGCAGAGTGGCTCACACCTGTAATCAGCACTTTGGGAGGCCAAGGCAGGCAGCTCATGAGGTCAAGAGATTGAGACCATCCTGGCCAACACGGTGAAACCCCGTCTCTACTAAAAATACAAAAAATAACCAGGTGTGGTAGCATGCACCTGTGGTCTCAGCTACTGAGGAGGCTGAGGTGGAAGAATCGCTTGAACCCAGGAGGCGGAGGTTGCAGTGAGCCGAGATTGCGCCACTGCACTCCAGCCTGGTGACAGAGCAAGACTCTGTCTAAAAAAAAAACAAGGTAAAGAGATGACCCGCCTAGAGATGTCTTCTCCTCTGTGGGGTCTGAAGGGAATAGAGCAAAACCCCCTTCCCATCAACCCTCATAGCTCTGGGCCTCCCTCTCTGTATCTGGGAAGGGTGGGGGGCTGGGTCCACATGTATTACGGCCCCTTCCAGCTCTAAGGGACTGTAATTCTCAGAGAACATTTTCTTACCCATTGCCCCCACAAGATGCAGAGCCGGTTAGGTAGGGGAGTGGGCAGCTGCAGCCCTCATCCTTGATGAGGGCCTTAAGAGACCATCTTTGAAGACACAGATGCCCAGGAGGCTTGCCCTAAATCAACCTGATGGTGACAAATGTCGTTGAGAGCCCAACAGTGGCTGTGCTCAGGGTCTCTGCACACAGTGGGATTCTCCTGGGGAGCCTCAGCTCTGAGGCCCAGGACCCCTCCGCTTCTGGGCTTTTCCGGGACAGTGAGAGCAGCCCTGGATGTGTGGTCAAAGGCCCAGGCAGCAGGGGCCTGCCTGAGGGGTCAGCTGTGTCATCAGAGTCACTGAGTCTTGGGGCTCCCTCTAGCCCAGTTCACCTCATTCTTTTCAGATAAGCAAATGAAGGCCAGAAAGGGGAGGACTGGTGTGCTTCTCACCACATGCCGCCTCTTTCTAGCCATGGCGCAGCAGGTGTGCGAGCTCAGCAGGGTCCAGTCCCAGGACAGACAGCCTCAGCTGGGAGCTCAGACCCGCCCATTAGTGGTGTGACTCTGGACGAGTTGCTTCCCTTCTTTCAGCCTTGGTTTGCTGGGGTGTACGATGTGAGGATCTGCTAAAGCAGCTCTGGAGCCCCCTCAGCTCTAAGTCAGGTGTCTTTGTTTGGATCACACTCTGTCTCCCTTCCCTCTCCCCATCCCAGTCTCCGGAAAACTTGCAGCTGGGCTGACTGCAGAGGCAAACGCCGGGTGTCTTTCCAGACAGGAAGTTTGTGACATCCTGAGCTGACAAGATGAAGCAAGAGTCAGCGCCAGAAGAAACCACCTCACAGCCTTCAACCAGGCTGGCCATGCCTCGGGGAGCTGCAGCAGGTGCCTCCCAACTTACACAGAACGTCCGGTGGCTCCTAACCCAAGGCTTTTCACCACTGGACACCTGGGATGCCTGAAATAGGGCAGGAGGGGGCGTGCCGGTGCCAAGTTATAAAAGAGTAGGAATGGCAACACTCAGAGTCAACACGGAAGCCAATCTATCTGTCTGTCTGTCTGTCTGTCTGTCCCTCCCCTAACTCCTCCCCCATGACCCCAGAAAAGCCCCCAGAGATCCTTCGTCCACAGCATCCCCACCCTGGCTCCGTTTTAGAGGAAGCAGCCACCACAGAAGATGCTTGTTACACGTTGCCAGGCAACAAAAATGCTGCCTGAAAACTACAACCCACCTCTGACTCTTCATAGGACTGGAAACTGGCAGATGAGAGAAGCCTGCAAGGGAACAAAGGAGAAGCATCAAGAGGGAAACGATGGAGTTGAGCAACCACAGAAGGCAAAATGAAAGAGCGCAGACAGTTGTGTAAAGTGCCAGAAAGCAAACAGATGGGGAGGAAAAACTGACTCACTGAAATTAGGGAGACAGACAGAGGAGGCATGGAGGAACGTCCTCTGGGTGTTACGTCCTCGAAAGGCCTCCGTGTTTTTCTTTTTTGGCCAAATCTGTCATGACTAGAGACAAGGTTGTTGACAAGGCAGATGATGATAGTGATGGCGATGGTGATTTCTTAGGTGAACGCTGGTCTACTGCTGACTTCCACTTTTGTCTGATGGGTGATTTTTATTAGATACCCCACAAGCAATGGCACGATTCTCCACAGACTTTCAGCAAACATGATTGTCCTCTAAAATAAAGATCTACACTGCACCCAAATATAGGGCCAGTGGCTTGTTCGCTGAAGTGGCCTTGGGCTCCAGGTGGGATCTTCAAGCACTGAGCAGATGAAGGGAGGAAGGAGTGATGTTCACGCTGGATGGCCATGCCTGGCTGGCAAGGGGATCTTGGAGAATAGGAGTGATCCAGGCAGAAGTCTCTCTGGGCAGCAGCCCCAGGCCAGCGGTGAGATCCTGGCTCACATACCTCTCAAAGCCTCCATTTACTAATTTCTAAAAGGGGAAATTGCTCATGCCTTGCTGACTTCACAGAGCACAGGACCACAGAGGAGAACCTGTGTAGGCTGACCATGAACTAAGACAGTGCCCCTTATTTATTAAAAACAATTCCTTCTACAGAGGCCGGGCCCTGTAGCAGACTTTATCGTGCAAGCAGGCCCTCTGCTGGGGGCGAGGCAATGAAGCAACTCCCCACCATAGTGGGGGAGTTACCCCACTGCTATGGGCCTCAGTTTTTCCATCAGGAAATGGAGAGAACATCACAAGGCGTTCCTGTGAGGATGCCAGATGCCAGAAGCTTCTCTGGCCTCACCGTGTGGTCACCCTGCCTTGGGTCCGACACCCGGCTCAGCCTCACCTGCCTCCAGTTCCACATCGTGCAGCCACAGGGACGGGACGGGCACCTCGAGACCCTATCGTCTAAGTTCGGAAACAATGAAAAGCCTCCAGACACATTTACTCTCTAAATAAAATCCACAGTTTAAATGATAAGACAATTCAAGAATACTGGTAACTGCATGGGAGCAATTTCACGTGTTAAAGTTGACAAAATAATTATAAAGCTACTACCTAGTTAACTATATTCACATTTACTTAACTCGGGAAGGTTGACAACACAGGTGTTTACTTCATTTTGTCATAGATTTTGGCAGAAAAAGTCTAGCCAGCCACCAGGCCCCGCCCCACCGCTCGGAAACAGACCTCTGGCATTCCAGGACAAGGGGCCGCTTCTGCCTGTACTAATAGGCAGTGGCTTCCCGTTAAAAATCGCTGTTTTTCCGGAACACCAATCACGATTCCTTTCCGAGGTTCCAAACAGCAAGCCCTCAAAGAAATTAGAAAACAACTGCACAGCCCAAACCGAAAGAAAAACTTAATTTCCTCACGTTAATTCCGCATCTCATGTCCTTTCTCCTTCCGCCCCAACACAGCCTCACTCCATAACACAACTCCCCAACGTAACACATGCCTCAACAGCCCTGCCGCAGGCCATCGGGGTCCCAAGGGCCAGGACTCCTCCCCTGCCCTGCAAGTCAGGGCCAGGGCAGCTCATGAGCCTCCAGTCACCACATCCTCATCCACGAAATGGGGACCGTGGGCTCCTTGTCCTGCCTGCTAACTCTGCAGGGTCACGGCGAGAAGTAGGAGATAGCCTGTGTCTTATGTTTCTCCCGCTGTTAGGTCTCCTCTTGTTTGAACTTCATCATCCCCTGGGAATTGGGTAGACCAGGCTTACCTCCAATCTACAAACCTCAAGAAACAGGCCTAGGAGAGGAAAGGGCTCTGGGTTTATCAAGAACCAGCCACAATCCCAGGCTCTTGTTTAATAGAGGGCACGTGACTTGTCCGGGATTGCACAGCTGGTCCGTTGTTAAGCCAGGCTGTGAGCACGTGTTTCTGACTCCAGGTGCCATGTGCTGTCCCTTCTGTGGCAATAAAGCCTTACATGCAGGAATGCAAAATATCATTATTACCACCGTTGCTGACGTTACTAAACTGGAACCAAACTGGTTTCGTCATGGGTTGACTGGAACCGCATGATGGAGAGCCTTGGTCACTAAATTTAAAAACATGGACTTAGGCCGGGCGCGGTGGCTCACGCCTGTAATCCCAACACTTTGGGGGGCCGAGGGGGGTAGATCATGAGGTCAAGAGATCAAGACCATCCTGGCCAACATGGTGAAACCCCGTCTCAAAAAAAAACAAAAATTAGCTGGGCATGGTGGCGCATGCCTGTCTGATGGGTGATTTTTATTAGATACCCCTCAAGCAACGGCACGATTCTCCACAGACTTTCAGAAAACACGATTAACCTCTAATCATGATGGCTTGAGGGGTATCTAATAAAAATCACCCATCAGAAAAAAAAAAAAAAAAAAAAAAGCTACTCAGAAGGTTGAGGCAGGAGAATCACTTGGACCCAGGAGGTGGAGGTTGCAGTGAGCCGAGATCATACCGCTGTACTCCAGCCTGGTGACAGAGTGAGACTTCATCTCAAAGAAAGAAGAAGAAGAAAGAAGAAAGAAGAAGAAACAAATGAACAAGAAGCAGAGAGAGAATTTAGGGGCAACCTGATGAGCCCGATCACAGACTTGATGCGTGGGACATTAGTACATGAGAAGATTATATAAAACTTGGTCTGATGCAGAGATGTATTCAAGAAGCCTACTCTGCCACCACTGCCCGTCTAAGTCACTTTTTTCTCTTGCTGGACTGCTACCACAGCCTCCTTGGTCCTCCTAGTAGTTTTCTTGCCTACCTCCAGTTTACTCACAGAGATGCCAAAGCAATATTTTTAGAATGAGCCATACTGTATGACTCTCCTATTTAAAACCCTTCAAAGGTGCCAGGCATGGTGGCTCACACCTGTAATCCTAGCTCCTTGGGAACTTGAGGTGGGAGGACTGCTTGAGGCTGGGAGTTTAAGACTAGCCTGGGCAACATAGAGAGACTGTCTCCAAAAAGTTTTTTGAATTAGCCAGGCATGGTGGTTCATGCCTATAGTCCCAGCTACTGAGGGGGCTGAAGTGGGAAGATTGCTTGAGCCCAGGCGTTTAAGGCTGCAGCAAGCTGTGATCATGCTATTGCATTCCAACCTGGGTGACAAAGTGAGACACTGTCTCTAAGTTTTAAAAAGAAAGAAGGAGAAACAAGAAGAAGAAGGAGAGGAAGTGGAGGAGGAGGAGGGGATGGAGGGACAGGAGCAGGAGAAGAAAGAATGAAAGAAAGAAAGAATGAGAAAAAGAAAGCAAGAAAAGAAAAAGGAGGAGGTGGTCGTTATGGAGGAGGAGGGGGAGGAGGAGGAGGAAGAGAAGGAGAAGAAAAAAGAGAAGGAGGAGGAGGAAGAAGAAAGAGGAGGAGGAGGGGGAGGGAAGAAGAAACAAGGAAATAAAAGGAGGAGGAGGAAGGAGGAAAAAGAAAAAAAATATTAATCTCTTTGAAGGCTTTCCACTGCACTTAGCTTCAACCCCATAATATGGTCCTCAGGGCCCTTCGCTGTCAGCCTCCCGCCCCCTTGTTCGGCTCAGTCCCTGCCACACCTGCCATACTCCATATACTCTCCTTCCAGTGACTCCTCCCCCCAGGCTCCTTGCCAGCTCAGGGCCTTGGCGCATTCTCCTCCCTCTTCTCGGAAAGCTCACCCTCTTGGTCTGTGAAGGGCTCATTTGTTCTCATCCCTCAGACCTCAGCTGAAGCATTACCTCCGAGGTGAGAAGGAGGGGGAGGAGGAAGTTTCACCTCCGAGGAGAGACCCACCGAGCAGGCCCCAGATGAGCAGGATCCCTCTCCAATGCCGCAGTGTCTTTTAAAAACATAATCATTGCAAACTCGTTTTTCCTCTTTCCCAGTATATATCATAGATTTGAAGTCACATATTTTTGTTTCTCTCTTCCCTGGTAGACTGTAAACCCATGAGGGAAAAAAATCATGTGCGTTTTATGCCTTAAGATATATTTTATTCCCAGCACAGTGCCTGGTGAATAGCACAGCTGCATACCTATTCATAACAGTATTATTTAGCAAGTCCCTCATGAGAAAGCACCGCAGCTCAGAGGGAGGCGTGGCTCAGCGCTCCACTTGGGATGCATGGATGCGTTCCTGTGAGTGCCTGCGTTCTCCGGGAGCAAGCGTGATGAAGGGAAACCGCAGAGAAGGGACAATGTCCAGGTGAAGGACAGATCTGTGTAGGAAGTAGTGTATGGGGGGAATCAGTATGAGATGTGTCCAGAGAGCAGGGGAGATCTCAACACTCAGTGCTCAAGCAATCTCTGTTGAGACATCTGCGAAAGCCTAAGAAACTCACTACTGCTTTTATCAGCAGGAAAACAAAGGCAGAGAGAAATGGACTTCAGACTAGCCCCCAACTCCCTTGCTAAAGCTGGAAACACAACAGGAGCCTCTTGTCTCTTTGAATCCTGGCTGGTTCCCACGTGGCTGAACCACCCTTCTGGTCTTACTGAGCTGTGGCTCTTATCTGGTGGTGGCCATGTGGAACGGGGTCCAGGTTGCTCCCTGCAGGGTTCAGGCCCTTGCAATTGTATTGAAGGACATTTAGCCATAGAGCATGGGGCTGTAGAATGGAACTGTCAGGAGCACCCAGCCTAAACAGAGATGTGCCCTGGGTCTTGCTCCTAAATTCCCAGGCCATTATGCCTGGGAGCCCCTTGCCCTAACAGTATGGACTACTCTCTGACTGCATTAAAAGGAAAATAGGCCAGGTGCGGTGGCTCACACCTGTAATCTCAGCACTTTGGGAGGCTGAGGCAGGCAGATCACAAGGTCAGGAGTTCAAGACCAGCCTGACCAACATGGTGAAACCCCATCTCTACTAAAAATGCAATAATTAGCCAGGTGTGGTGACATACACCTGTAATCCCAGCTACTCGGGAGGCTGAGGCAGGAGAATTGTTTGAACCCAGGAGGCAGAGGTTGCAGTGAGCCAAGATCACACCACTGCACTCTAGCCTAGGTGACAGAGTGAGACTCTGACCCCCTCAAAAAGGAAAATAATGCTGAGGAAACGGGAGGATGTCTAACAGTGGGGCACTGTGTTCAGTCTGGGGCCTTCACTTCATGAGGACACTGACGACCAGGAAGGAGAGTGGGCGAGAGGGTGGAGTCTGATCAGAAGTCCTGTGACAATGGTTGAGGGGACTAGAGATCACCAGGTTGGAGCAGAGAAGATTCAACCTGACTTTGAATACTCAAGGGACCTTCAATGGCAATTCTAAGTCAGAGCTGTCTGAGAATAGATTGGATAGTCTTTTAAAGTAGTGTCCCAGAGGCCGTTCAAAGAGGCTGCATAATTCTGGTCAGGTAAGGACACGTGCAAGGTAAATGGTAGAACCAGGGGTCAAAGCTGGTTTCTCCACCCTGAGTTCAGGTAGTCCCAATCACAGGATGAATCCTCCGATTGCTAGTGTGTTCTAGGTGTTTTCCCCTTGGCTCAGCTGAAACATGTTTAAGATGTTTAAAACGAGTTTTACTCACTAAGCTCTGTGCCCCCTCCATTGTGGGAGTGTCAGAGCCCCTCCATTGTGGGAGTGTCAGAGCCCCTCCAAGGAGGTGGGTGGGGGAGGGGTGAGAATGAAGCCCCATGCCCTTACGCATCTGCTGTAAGAAAGGAAGTCACTTCTTTCCTACACACCTAGCCCGACACTACCTGTCATTGTGTACCATCTTTGGCAGACTTGGGAAGGAATTCTTTCCAGTGACGAAGGTCAGAAGGCCCTCCCCAGTTGGAGAAGGAGCCTGGCATTTAACTGGGTTGCAACTGGGCCACTGTAGCATGTCTGGCCCTGTCTGAGAGGGCCCGCAGGGGCTGTGTTACCAGGCAGCTCCCAGGTGCCTTCTGGAAAGACAAAATGACCAGGTGTGTTAGGGCCAGCAGGCTCCCAGGGTCACTACTTGAAGGCAGCCAGGGGACTGTGGCTCCCCATAAACTCTCTGTGCAGAGGGGGCAAGCAGGCATCCAGTCCGAATGGAATGAGGTGGGATACTCAAGAATTATAGCATGTTCTCACCCATATCCCTTCTCAGCCCAGTCTCCGGGGGACTGCGGCCAAGTCTCAGGGGACAGAGGAGTCTACATTAAATGGAAGGAGAAAAATCACTTTTTTTTTGAGATGGAGTCTCGCTCTGTCACCCAGGCTGGAGTGCAATGGTGTGATCTCAGCTCACTGCATCCTCTACCTCCCAAGTTCAAGCGATTCTCCGCCTCAGCCTCCCAAGTAGCTGGGATTACAGGCGTGCCCCACCACGCCTGGCTAATTTTGGTATTTTTAGTAGAGACAGAATTTTGCCATGTTGGCCAGGGTTGTCTCGAACTCCTGACCTCAGGTAATCCGCCTGCCTCAGCCTCCCAAAGTGCTGGGAGTACAGCGATGAGCCACCATGCCTGGCCAAAAATCACATTTTTAAAAACCTTCCAGCAGCTGCCCTGTGCAAGCCAGGAACGCAGGGCTTTACCCCAGTCTGGGCGGGTAAACACAGCAGGGTGAAGAGCCCTGCTCCTGAGCCAGCCTAGACCACCAAATTCGTGGAGAAGGGGCCTATGCAGCTGAGGTGCCCGTCCTTTCTGCACCGGAAATGTAGGGCACGATGGCATTATGAAGGGCAAACAAAACCACCCCAAAGTTGAAAGATGGAAAAGCTGACGGAATATGAATTTCCTGCTTGACTAAGGTCAGCCCACAAATAGATGTGGCTGACGTCACTTACAGGAACTCCTTCCTTTTCCTTACCTCTCCAACCTCCAAGGAGGCTGGTAGGGGAGGGGGTGAGAACGAAGCCCCACACCCTTAGGCCTCCACTGTAAGAAAGAAAGTCACTTCTCTCCTACACCTCTAGCATGGCACGACCTGCCGCTGTGTACCATCTTTGGCAGACTTGGGAAGGAATTCATTCCAAGTCTGCCTGGAATGGTCTGGATGGTCCTCCCCAGTTGGATAAGGAGCCTGGCATTTAACTGGGTCTCCCTAAGACAAAAATCCTGGAGACAAGACATTGGTGACTTCCCAGCAGGAGACAGTGGAGGGAAACCCAGGTTGGGTGCAATACGGCCAATAATTTAGAATAAATTGGGGGTTGACTTGACTGAAAAAATGGAAGTTTCTCAATGCAATATGGATTTCGCTTAGCACCCACAGTCCCAAACTTAGTAATTCAGAATGCAAATTTTAGGGGGATTTTCCTTGTTTTCCCAGTTTCTTTTTTCTTTTACTTTCCTTTCTCTTTTCTTCCTTTCTTTCTCTTTCTCCTCTCTCCTTTTCTTTTCTTTCTTTCTTTTGAGACAGAGTCTTACTCTGTTGCCCAGGCTGGAGTGCAGTGGCACAATCTCGGCTCACAGCAACCTCCACCTCCCGGGTTCAAGCGATTCTCCTGCCTCAGCCTCCTGAGTAGCTGGGATTACAGGTGCACGCGCCACCACACCCAGCTAATAAATACCCCATTTCTTGACTCTCCCTTCTAAGAGATATCATCCATTACTTATAGTAGCTAAGTAATACATAATTATTTAATATAAAAGTACAGAAAACTAGCTACAAATTAGCAGTTTAAGTGACAAAAGGGGACAAAAATACTGCCAATGACGAAGACGAAAGAACGGCTGAATGCGAGATGACAAAGAGAGAGAGTGGGACTGGAGACCGCGAATTACACACGTGAAATCAGAATGGGATCCCACTAGAGACAGGAGCCAGGACCGAGCAGCCGCCCTGGAGCCGCTCCCGGCTGCCGCCACTGCGAGAGGGAAGCTGAACGCTCTGCTCCTCCCCGGCGGCTGGTCCCTGCAGGTGCGGACACCGCCCACCTGGCCCGCTCTGCGCCCCCTGGCGGAGCGAGCGCCGGCCCCGCCCGGCCCCCCTTCCCCCCTCCACCCCCCACCCCGCCAACCCCGGAACCACCCACGGACTCGAGGCCTCTCCCCACCTCAGCCCGCAGCTCCGCGGGGCGGCAGATCCCGGCGGCTACTGAAAAGCCAGTGGAGCCTGCCCGGATCCGCGCCCCGTGGGGAGCTCCACCTGCCCGCGCGCCGGCTCAAGCGCTCCGGTTAGCGGCCGGGCAAGGGGGGCTCTGAGGGAGGCACCCACCCGCGAAGGAGCACTCGGCCCCGCCAAGGCGCCCCGCGGCCCTGTCCACCAAGGTCACTGGCCGCCAGGTCCGAAGAGAACCCTTCAAGAAAGAACTTTCAGTGCGCTTGTTACAGAAAATTATATGTAAAAACGGAGCCATTCAGCTTTACTTTCCACCCTGCGTTGATGTAAAACACGAGTTTCTACGGAAGATGAGGGGCTTTGTCAAGTGTCTAAAAACCAATGCTACCTCTTTCCATTACCATATATATATATATGTAAACGCATTATTATTGTTGAAAATACAATAAAAAGTAATGTATAAAAATCACATGTACACCTTCGGAGGCTGAGGTGACTGGATCACTTGATGCCAGGAGTTGCAGACAAAGCCTGGCCAACATAGTGAAACCCCGTCTCCACTCAAAATACAAAAATTAGCCAGGCGTGGTGGCAGGTGCTGTAGTACCAGCTACTCCAGCCGAGATCACGCCACTGCACTCCAACCTGGGTGACAGAGCGAGACTCCGCCTCATAAATAAAAATAAAAATCACATGTAACAGAGAAATCAGCTTAATGTTTCTATGTATTTTCCAAGTATTTCTGCATCTATCTATAAATCGGTAGCATCCTACATAATGCTATTTTGTTTGCTCCTTTTTCAAGTATTACATCATGACTGTTTCCCTACCTAATGGTAATCTTCAAAAGGTTGGTTTTCAGCACAGGCGCGGTGGCTCATGCCTGTAATCCCAGCACTTGGAGAGGTTGAGGAAGGCAGGATCACCTGAGGTCAGGAGTTCAAGACCAGCCGGGCCAACATGGAGAAACCCTGTCTCTACTAAAAATACAAAAACTTAGCCAAGTGTTGTGGCAGGTGCCTGTAATTTCAGCTACTTGGGAGGCTGAGGCAGGAGAATTGCTTGAACCCAGGAGGTGGTGGCTGCAGTGAGCCGAGAACGCACTCCAGCCTGGGTGACATAGTGAGACTCCATGTCAAAAAAGAAAAAAAAATTGATTTGATTTTTGTAAAATCTTGCTAACCACCCATCATATGGATGTGCCATACTTGTTTAACCATTTAAATCCTAGATCTTGACTTGGTTTCTCATTCTTTACTATTATAAACTGCCCCATGCAGAAGCAGTTTGGTGTAAACTGATTATTCCATTAAAATAGCTTCCTAGAAAGAGAATTCCTGCATCAAAGTTACAAACTCAAGGCTCCTGTGACAAATTGTTACATTGTTTTCCAGAAAGGTGGTACTAATTTCCTTCTTGCCCTCGGAAGGAGACCACTCTATCCACCCCTACCGCCCACAATGACTCTCCAGCATGAGTTATATTTATTTAAAATTTTGTCAATTCCAGAGGGGAAAACGTAATTCTCCTCGTGCTTATAATTTGCAGTTCTTTGATTAGTGGGACTGAATATGCGTTGTGTGTTTTATTTTATTGGCTTTTTGTATTTCTTCCTTTGTAGTTGGCCTTATCTTTAGCCTATTTTTTTCACTGGGGGATGAGTTCTGCCTGGTTTCCAAGATCGCTTTGTATAATAGGGATATTTACTCCTTGTCATGTTTGCTGCAAGGATTTTTTCTAGCATTAACATATAAATAAGTTCATATTTTTTCAAGGTCTGAAATCTAACATTATGTGTATGATGTAAGCAAACACACCAGTTTTTTCCTTCATGTTTCTTCTGAGATTTGATGCTTAACGGTTCTTCCTCCTCTCAGGATTGATTAAATACTCACTTTGTTTTCCGGAGCTTGTTCATGATTTCTTCTTCTACATCTGACTTTTTAATCCACCTGGAATTTATTTTGGTGGCTGGTGAGAGCTAGGGGTCCAATTTAATTTTTCATCCAAGCTTCCAGTTTCCCCACTAACATGTATTGAAGAATCTATTGCTTCGCAGTTGGTGTTCTTTCTCGTATATCGGGTTCTTACACAGTAGGGTTTATTTCAGGGTTTTCCATTAGGTTTCATTGATGTCATTATTGATTTTTCAGTCATGCCAGAGGGACTTAATTACTCTTAGCTTTATAATACACTTTAATATCTAGTAGAGAAAGTCCCTCAATGGTCTCTTTCCAAAAAGTTAAGCTATTCTTACCTATTTATTAAAACATCCTCAGAATCTGGAGTTAGTCTCCATCAAAATTTGTAATTTTGTGTTTTCTTTCTTTTCAATTAAATTTATATCTTAGAAGTTGGTATCTCTTGGATTTATAAATTAGGCTGCTCTGGTTTTTAAATGCATTAATTCCTGACTTTGCCTTTTTTATAAACTTAATCTTCCCTGCTGAGGTTTGTTTTGTTCTTTTTTGTTTTTTTTTTTTTTTTTTTTTAGATGGTGTCTCACTCTGTCGTCCAGCCTGGAGTGCAGTGGCATGATCTCTGCTCACTACAACCTCCACCTCCCAGGTTCAAGCGATTCTTCTGGCTCAGCCTCCTGAGTAACTGAGACTACCACCACGCCCAACTAATTTTTGTATTTTTAGTAGAAATGGGGTTTCAGCATATTGTCCAGGCTGGTCTCGAGCTCCTGACCTTGTGATTCGCCCACCTCAGCCTCCCAGAGTGCTGGGGTTACAGGTGTGAGCCACCACATCCAGCTTTGTTTTGTTGTTCTAATGGATTCAATTATTTTCCTTGTTCATTTTTTCTTTTTTTATTATTAAAAATGGGGTCTCGCTATGTTGCCCGGGCTGAGGGCAGTGGATATCCACAGGCACGATCATAGTGGACTACTGGCCCGAACTCCTGGCTCAAGTGATCCTCCCACCTCAGCCTCCCAAGTAGCTGGGCTATCAGTGCACACCACCATGCCTGAAGAACTAAGGATGTCTTTCATCTGCGTACACCTGTGGTCACATCCTGAGTTTTGATACATAGGGTCGTCATTGTCGTAATTTTCTAATAGTCTTTAATAGCAGTTTTGAATTCTCTGTTGTAATTGAGGAGATTGCTTTAAACGTCCCATCAAAAAGTTTTCTTTTAACTGGAGTTTTATGGCCTTATGGTCAGAGAATACAGCTTGAGCAATCTTTCTAATGTTTTAAAATGCGTGACCAAGAAGTTGATCGATTTTTTAAAGTGTTCCCTGGATGCTTAAATAGAAGATGCATTATTTGTTTCTAGGCTACAAAGTGTACCATTTCCCAATTAATTAAAACATTGAATAACTCAGATTCTTAATCTCTTGTATAAAATTCATGGTTTTACTGTATATAGCACTTTTATTCATATTAAATGGTTCTTTTGGACAATTTAATGATTTCTATTTTGAATTCAACTTGGTTTAAAATGCGAATTTCTATTCATTTGCCATCTGATTTGTACTTACCTAATAAATCTTTGCTCTTCATTTATTTTTGGGGCCTTCTGTTCTAGGTACTTCTTTTGTAAATTGCATGCCATTAAAATTTGCTTTTAAATCTCATCTAAGAGACATTTACTTTTAACAAGGAGGTAAACACAATTATATTGATGGTTATAAACTTTTGTTTTTCTCTGATCTTCTTTCACACTTAGTTTTTAAATTCTTCCTGCTTCCTTTATTTTTTCTGTCTTAGCTATGTGGGCTCTGATGTTGTGTGGGAGGTACGTGTTTTCAGGATAGGGAAAAGGCTCTCAGGCTGGTGTTGGAGTCTCAGGTCTGCTGACTCTGTGGCCTGAGGCACATTGCTCAGCCTCTCTGCGTCTCAACATCCTCATATATAGAATGGAGATACAATCTCATAGAGCTATCGCATAGATTAAATGAAACAATACATGGCTGATGCTATTGTTATTCTTCTTGTTATAAAATTTTACCTGTGGTTCCTTCAGGTTAAAAAAAACTATTTCTATGCCTGTAATCCCAGCAGTTTGGGAGGCCAAGGCAGGTGGATCACGAGGTCAAGACATTGAGACCATCCTGGTCAACATGGTGAAACCCCGTCTCTACTAAAAATACGAAAAATTATCTGGGCACGGTGGCGCATTCCTGTAATCCCAGCTACTCGCGAGGCTGAGGCAGGAGAATTGCCTGAACCCAGGAGGCGGAGGTAGCGGTGAGCCGAGATCGCGCCATTGCACTCCAGCCTGGATAACAAGAGCGAAAATCCATCTCAAAAAAAACAAAAAACTATTTCTCTGATTGCTAAAACTGAGTTATAGGGCTTTATTATAAAATACTCCTCTACATAAGACAATGAATCTGGCATGCTTTTCCTAATCCCTTCTAGCCTTCTCCTCTCAAACTTTTAATCTGAGGATTTGCAGCCCTCTAATTATTATTGAATTATTGCTTCAATTTCATACATCTACTCTTTCCAGAATCTACTTTTTATTTGACATTAGAATTAGGGGTTTTGCAACCATGCATACATTTAGTCTTGATTTATGTTTGCCCGGTTTTAGCAACGACCACCTGTCTTTCTTTACATCATTTCATTATTAAGATCTTAAGTGTGATTCATCCTTTGGTCAACTGGCAAACGAGTTCCCCCCAAAAGTGTAAGCAGTTTACCTTCCGAGCCCAGAAAACTCCAAGAATGACTTTTATTCCTCTTTAGTTGCCTCACTCAAATGACGGGGTGGACCCAAACTTAAAACGCTGTGGAAGTGTTCTAATGACCCTTTGAACTTAGGGTTCCTGAGGGAGAGTCAGCTCTGAGATGCCTGTGTGCCTCTAGGATTGTTTAACTTTAACCTTATGATTCAATAAATTCCAGAAAAAGAATGTGT